TGAGGGTACTTTTTAATAAATCTAGCTCTCTCAGCATTCTCTGCATTTTTTCCAGCAACAGGGTCAACATAGCTATCAATATCATTCCCATACTTTTTTCATAGTCCTGATACGACCTATACGGCGACTTACCGATTTCTCCTCCACCTAGTCTCATTCTTAATAACCTAACGTATGTTATTAAGATGAAGTTCACAATTTTACTCCAGAGCTCGCACACAGTTGTATCACTACAGAATTCAATTCTAACAAGTAACTATAAATCAGTCTTTGTGAAGAGAGTATCAGTATTCTGGGAGTACTTTAACATAAGGGAACCAACAACTATTCTCAAAGTGAAAACAGATGATGGAGAATCTGATGTAATTGTTAATAAAGGTTACTACACATTTGACAGTATGAAGAAGTTACTTGAAAGACACGGTGTTAAGCTAACCTACTTTACTGAAACAGCAGGATGCCAAATAGAAGCAGTAAAACAAGATATCACAATAGAAACACGATTACTGACTATGTTAGGTTTTAATAGATTTTTTAATCCTATGATCCTACTAAAAGGGAGGAGTTTGACAAGTGATAGCAAAGTTGACTTTAATAACGGTCTACGATACGTAAATATACACTGCAATCTGGTAAGTAACAGTTTTAACGTTAACCCTTGGGGAAGACCCAGCGATGTAATAACAAGTGTTACAGTTCCAACTGACAGACCATTATTAGGCTCAGTAGTTAGTTACATTGATGTTGAAAGCAGGACTTCAGTTATTAAGGGTTCGTTCTCAGAACCATCTAATGACTCTCGGCTCATAAAATGAAATTCTTCGTTACTTTCACAATGAAATGTATTTACCCCAAGAACAAACAAACACTATTTGGAATTTTGAAATTTTATTAATTTTTAAAATTTCAGCGACTTTTCGGTCCCGCGCCGTTGGGCAGAAAATCCTCTGCCCAAATCAGGAATAAAAATTAGCCGAATTCAAATACATATAATTTTAAAAGTATTCAACCAAATTTTATGATTTTTTCACCCACTAACGTGAAAATTGTTCTACTTTGAAACTTGCCTTGTTTTATGATACTTTTACAGAAAGATTATGGCAAACTTTAGCGATAACAAGCACCGGGTGTAAATACGGCTTTGTACGCATATCAAATTCGACTTTAAATTTCTCAAAAGTGGCACCTAACTGGATTCAGTGACTAATATGGTTAAAAAATGGAAGTTTGAAGTACCCATATCCACAATAAAACTTGTAACTGACCGCGATTTGAAGACTCGGCAGCCTCTGGAATTTGATACAATTTGGCTATTTTGTTTAGCTTCAATTATAGCGGAGTTGAGACGTCAGAGCTTCCAGTCACTTGTAAAATGCGCTGTTGTTCCGTATTTTTACACAAGCCTTTAAATCATCGTAGTTAAGCGATTTTTCTGTGTTCATGAACATCACAAGTGGATTTAATTAAAAAAGATTTCGATCGATGCAGCGAGGTAAACGTGGTACGCTTTCGTATTAAAATTAGCCACTCGGGGGAAAACCCGGAAATTATTGTCAAATTGTCAATGCTGATATTTATTAATTAATCTAAACCCTTATTCTGTGATCTAAACTCTGTATGTCTATTCTGCACGATTGGAAATGAATTTAAACTGGAAAAAAGACTTGATCTAGAAGACTACTATAGATACTGATTATTCAAAAAGATCCAGTTGTAATCGTGCATGCCAATTGAATTGGATTTGGATTATAGTTCGAATAAGGGTTTTGATTAGTGTTTCAACCAGGGCTTGGCTGAAATTTAATAGAAGAGTCATATATGGAATAGTCTCCAAATGACCCCAACTCTATCCTGACCCCTACCCTACACCCACCCCACCTCTATTGTGATGTCATTTGAGGACCTTTATATCAACTTCACCTGGAATTGTTTAAGGAGAGCTAATAAAGGGTGAAGTTTATTTTCATACAAGAGTTTTCAAATGACGTCACAAAAACGCGAGGTTGGGGTAGGGTCGTACTGGGGGTGTGGGTAGGCCAGGGCATGTGGAGACTCTTATATGAAACGTCGAGCAGAATAATGGTAGAAACTGTTCACGATGTATTCAAAAAGGGGAATGTTAATTAATGCGTAAATTACCCCAATAAAGTATAGTATCATGTGAAGATATAGTGGGGAATCGAAATTGTCAAATATATACTAATGGAATTGCTGTGCATTACACGGAAGAGAAGCTATATAAAGTTGCACGATTAGACTGTTTATGACGGGAGTGCCAAAATTAGCAATGACTTTATTTTACCTCGCTTACCTCGCTGTAACGTTTACCTCGCTGCATCGAGCCAAATCTTTTCGAATTAAAACAACTTCTGATGTTCATGAACACGGAAAAATCGCTTAACGGCTTGCGTGAAACGACGCATTTTACAAATGACTGGAAGCTCTGGCGTCTCAACTCCGCGATAATTGAAGGTAACAAATTTCAGAGGCTCTGGGAGTCTTCAAATCGCGGTTGGTAACAAGTTTTATTGTGCATGGATATTGGCACTTCAAACTTCTCTTTTTTCAACCATATTAGTCACTGAATCCAGTTAGGAGCCACTTTTGAGAAATTTAAAGTCGAATTTGATATGTGTACAAAGCCGTATTTGGACTTGGTGCTTGTATCGCTAAAGTTTGCCATAATAGTTTTGTAAAAGCATGATAAAACCAACTAAGTTTCAAAGTAGAATAACATTCACGTGCGTGGGCGAAAAAATCATAAAAGACATTGTGAAAGTAACGAAGACTTTCATTTTTTGAGCCTAAAGCCATTGGTCGGTTCTTAGAGAGATAACCTCTTAAATTCATTCCCAATCGTGCAGAATAGACATACAGAGTTTAGATTAATAAATATCAGCATTGTCAATTTGACAATAATTTCCGGGTTTTCCCCGAGTAGCTAATTTTAATACGAAAGCGTACCACGTTTGATAATACCTCGCTGCATCGATCGAAATCTTTTTGAATTAAACCCACTTGTGATGTTCATGAACACAGAAAAATCGCTTAACTACGATGATTTAAAGGCTTGTGTAAAAATACGGAACAACAACGCATTTTACAAGTGACTGGAAGCTCTGACGTCTCAACTCCGCTATAATTGAAGCTAAGCAAAATAGCCAAATTGTATCAAATTTCAGAGGCTGTCGAGTCTTCAAATCGCGGTCAGTTACAAGTTTTATTGTGGATATGGGTACTTCAAACTTCCATTTTTTTAACCATATTAGTCACTGAATCCAGTTAGGTGCCACTTTTGAGAAATTTAAAGTCGAATTTGATATGCGTACAAAGCCGTATTTACACCCGGTGCTTGTTATCGCTAAAGTTTGCCATAATCTTTCTGTAAAAGTATCATAAAACAAGGCAAGTTTCAAAGTAGAATAATTTTCACGTTGGTGGGTTAAAAAATCATAAAATTTGGTTGAATACTTTTAAAATTATATGTATTTGAATTCGGCTAATTTTTATTCCTGATTTAGGCAGAGGATTTTCTGCCCGACGGCGCGGGCCGAAAAGTCGCTGAAATTTTAAAAATTAATAAAATTTCAAAATTCCAAATAGTGTTTGTTTGTTCTTGGGGTAAATACATTTCATTGTGAAAGTAACGAAGAATTTCATTTTATGAGCCGAGAGTCATTGGTCGGTTCTTAGAGAGACAGCCTCTTAAGCGACTGCATGCCGTGGTTTAAGGACTTACCTGATTTTTCTTCAATTGATGTTAACAGGTAAGTACAGTACATGTCTACCATAAACTACTACTGTACCTTTTCTGGAGGTCGAATGGTGGATAGTGCAAGGATATTCGGAGTTACGGACAAACGATTAGAATCTGTAGTAAATATTAAATGATGATGCAAATATTTTATAGGCCTATCAAGGGTGTTTGTGGTCTTACCAGAGAGATTGTTGTTGGATTGGTCGCCAACCTGGAGAGTAGGGAAATCCGGAGACAAGAATATGTGGCGAGAGATCTTCCTCCAGAACACCCCAGGGCATCATCAAGTGATGACTGTGAATGTTTATTTTCAGTCATGCACGAAATGCTTGGAAACATATTTGATTTAAAGCAGTTCCATGATTGCCAGCCCAAGATTTTAAACGAATTTACTAAACAGATAAATCCAGACTTGAAATTTTACTACTGGACTGGTGCAAAAGAGCGATTTAGAGAAATTGAGCTACCCTCTTTCAATGAACCATCAGGTGACGGTGCACAGGAAAGACTTAATAATGTACGTATTTCGAAGAGAGGAGACCCGGGAATATTTGTTGGCAACCGAGCATCCTTGCCGCAAAAAGGGGAACTTACTGCAAGGGCAAAGTTCCACAAAGCTCCAGTTGTTTTGCCACCACATCAAATTTAAGGTGGCTCGCTGCAGTTTACTAGAAAATGGGGGATCTCTGATTTAGACCCAATTTTCAACAATTCCAGAAAAAAAATATAACAGAATTGGATTTTTTTGAAAAGGAAGCACAACTGCCATTGCTATGGCAACAATGATGCTTCAATATAGCCGATATTTTGGGTGTAAAGTTATTTAACTTGGAAATAAACTCTGTTACTCCCATTTTCTTTTAATATTTTGTGAATCATGGTTTTTTTAAAATTCTATCATGCGAAAAAAATGGTTAGGAACTATTACATTTTCCGATCTTAAATTACTTAAAGTTAAAACCAAAAATATTGGCCATATTGAAACGTCGATGTTGCCATAGCAACGGCTGTTAGGAGTTTAAATTTTAAAAACTCCAAACTCCTTTAGTTATTGTTTTATTCAAGTCAGATAGTCTTTGTTTTTCAACAAATAATTATTGTCCAGAAATTCATACCCAAATCAGAAAATTTTCCCATTTTTTAAGAAGTGTAGGTAGCAACCTTAAAGTACAGTTTTAATAAACAACTTCACATTTTCAATTTTATTCATAGTATTTACAATTATGGTATTTAAGCAACTTTTTTACTGGCCTGGACAACTTCGTTTGGCCATGGGCTGTTCTGTTATTTCGATTGTAAGATAAAAACCAATTTTTAAATAGGTTGTACAGAAGCGAATGCGCTTTATGGAAACATCAAGGTCTTTTCTTCCTAACAATGGGTGTAAATATTTTGTCAATTCACTAGGTATATAACCAACATTGTTATAAAAGTCCCCCGTCATGACGTACACTCCAATGGCATTTTTATCATGTTTATTATCAGGCTCTGCTTCTAGTTTTACAAAGACGGGTCGATTGTAGTCATACAAGTACTCATATGCCTCTTCCAGGGAATTCTGTCTTGAAGTATCATAAGCACTTCCCAAAACCTTAAATGGTAGGCAGTGAGGTTCACCAAGTTCATCTGTAGGATTGTCATCACTCTTGCTAGTTGTTGGTACATTTGCTGGTAAATCTCTGGATAACTCCCAAAGGACCAAAAACGATTTGTTGTCAATGTCTATGGAACACGACGACATGCAAGAATAATGGCCTAGCGTGATACTAACTATGACCTTTCTTAAGTTCACAGTAATCACTGGAAATGATGGGATTTTATAGGGAAATGATATTGGATGAATCTGAATGATATCCACTTCCAGTCTTTCATTTTCTAAAGCAAAAATATGAGATTTAAAAATGTTAACTTTACATGCACAACGTTTCCTTTTGAATTTTAATAGAGAACTAAGAAAAGCAATGCACCTGCGAACTAACATATCAAATATGCACTAATTTGTTCCCTTAAATAGTTAGAAATGATAATGCTGGAAAACAATGGACTTTGAAACTGAGATTTGTAATAAACTCATGGGCAGATTCGCTGTGGAGGTTAGGGGGTTAATGCCCCCCCTAGAATCTTTCTAACCCCTCTTATAAACTGTTCAACCTCACCAAAATTTTGCTTTACCCCTCCTATTTTGTGTGAAAGTCTTTAACCCTAACGCCCAACCCCTGCCGAAGCTCGCTCAGTGGTGCGGCTTACACCCTCCTAAATTTTTCCACCCCTCCTTCTAAAAAATAAAAACCACCCTTGAATAAACTACATTGTATAACTATACTATTTTTCGTATACATTTATTTCATATATACCATTTGTTTCATTGTCTGTTTCTTCTGAAGCCGACTGATCTTCATTTGTGGTATTCAGGTTGTCATTGTCAATAAACACCTTAATTTTTAATGAGTTCATTTAATCATAATATTATAGAGCAAAGTTTTTAGAAGCTGTTAGGTTTCTAGTGATTCATACATGTGTGCTAATGGTTCGTTGGAATATTAAAGTGAGGATTAACTGTCCCTTTTCATTTGTTTTGGTTTTCTGGAATGACCCAATTCATTTGTTTGGGTTCTTTGAAAATTACAAAAACATATGCATTTTTTTCCATTCCTAAAGTTTCCTACCTGTTTAAGTAGTGGATAATTATTCACTTTCACACCACTTTTTGGATCCAGATTACCCGAGGCAAGGTTGATGGAAGTTGTGTCATCGAGTATTCTGATGTAAAGTTAAGATCTTTGATTTGTACATGTAGAAATTGATCAATATAATTTTTACATGAAATTACTTAGGCATTGACAACTTTTTACTCAAGGATACATTCCACAAAAATGTTGAAGCTTGCAATTGTTTGTAACAGGCTTGTTCCACTCATTCAGAGGAATACATTTCATACTGTCAATGCTAAAGACTGTCTGATGGTTAAAAACAACCAAGGCATTGGTGAAATTCTCTTCATAATCATCTGGTGCCCCCTTCTTTGCCAATTCTTCAAGCAAATGATTACCACAAACCAGTGCATATGCCCTATGGATTCCAATTCCTTTAACGTTTTGAACATAATCGCACCCAGCTGCAACACACAATTTTTGAAATTGTTGAAAACTTAATTTCAAACCTTCCAAAACTTGTGCGAGGACAAGTTTCTGTCCAGTACCACACATCTTGGCTTTTACAAATATCTGCAAGCATAATGAAAAATAATTTATATTCAATATGTAATTTAGCACGCTGTATAATCAACAGCATTCTCCTACTGACGAGTAAAACAATATGATGGTAGACAGTAGAAGAACCGACAATTTTCTGACAAGAGAGATGATTTTCTGGTATTAGACCTGGCAATATAGTTTGCAACCACCAAGTCACCTCAACCAATACAATTGTTTTCCTAATGCACCAGTCAAAGTAAACTCCAACCCCCACCCCAGGCAAAGAGGGGACTTGGTGGGGATTTAGTGGCTTTTTGTCATTTAATTCTGTCCCACCCATGTCGGGAATTTGTTGGTTTTGTCATTCTGCCGAATTATGCCGGGAAGAGGAGAAGAAGGAGCCAATCCCCACCTATATCCCACGGTTGGGGGGAGGTCGGAGTTTACTTTGACTGGTGCATAACCCTAATGTAAATTTCATTTGGGCTGTGGGATCTAGTGTTGTGCAACTAACTATAGTGAAACCAAAAGCAAAGTGTCTACCTCTTTACAACCATAGGTGAGTAAATCAGAGTCCTCTGTGATAACAAAATCTGCATGACCATGTTTTACAAGAAATGCTATCTGAGCATCAGATTCATATGGAGATACAATGTAACTAATATTCTCCTTGACACATACCTATTAAATAATACACAAACATGGCCTTTAGGTCTTATATATCCATCTCGTAAAACGATTAGATCATACGAGTATGGAATATTACAGACATATAGTTACTTCAATGCATGTTGAAATATCCTCAAATGAAATGGAAATTCCTTGGCTAAGTAAAACATGGCCTTTAGGTCTTATATATCCATCTCGTAAAACGATTAGATCATACGAGTATGGAATATTACAGACATATAGTTACTTCAATGCATGTTGAAATATCCTCAAATGAAATGGAAATTCCTTGGCTAAGTAAAACATGGCCTTTAGGTCTTATATATCCATCTCGTAAAACGATTAGATCATACGAGTATGGAATATTACAGACATATAGTTACTTCAATGCATGTTGAAATATCCTCAAATGAAATGGAAATTCCTTGGCTAAGTAAAACATGGCCTTTAGGTCTTATATATCCATCTCGTAAAACGATTAGATCATACGAGTATGGAATATTACAGACATATAGTTACTTCAATGCATGTTGAAATATCCTCAAATGAAATGGAAATTCCTTGGCTAAGTAAAACATGGCCTTTAGGTCTTATATATCCATCTCGTAAAACGATTAGATCATACGAGTATGGAATATTACAGACATATAGTTACTTCAATGCATGTTGAAATATCCTCAAATGAAATGGAAATTCCTTGGCTAAGTAAAACATGGCCTTTAGGTCTTATATATCCATCTCGTAAAACGATTAGATCATACGAGTATGGAATATTACAGACATATAGTTACTTCAATGCATGTTGAAATATCCTCAAATGAAATGGAAATTCCTTGGCTAAGTAAAACATGGCCTTTAGGTCTTATATATCCATCTCGTAAAACGATTAGATCATACGAGTATGGAATATTACAGACATATAGTTACTTCAATGCATGTTGAAATATCCTCAAATGAAATGGAAATTCCTTGGCTAAGTAATTTGTTCTGCTCTTCCAGACTGCCTGCTTCGTTTGCTCTTCTCAATGCATCGTTTTTCGCTCTACAGAGGTATGGTTAAAATATATTTAGCCGTTTATAGGTTTACTGCAAGTATCTAATTGAGATGCTTAGTTGATAATACCTAGGCATTTGATTTTAACTCACCTTTGCCTTTTGGCCGTTTCGTTTGCCTTGGCAGGCAGGGGCGATCCATCAAAGACAACAAACGAAATGACCCCAGCGCTTCTTACCAACGTTAAATGTTTTTGAAAAATACTGCTTAATCTGAAAGTAAATAACATGAATATTCATGACTAAATGACGAAAAATATTTGCAGAGCAAAAATCTTACTGACTATAGTCTAGATATTTTACAAACGAAGCCACTTGCCTTTCTTGATTTCCATCTACAGACACAGAAATTGCTAGCGCTCGATGTATCCAGCACAAAGCGTCGATAGCTGCTGTTTTCCCAGCGAAATCCGCAAGATTTACGTCTTTACAATATTCTTTTAGAAAGGGAAACAAATTTTTGATGCCCATTTGCTTTATTTGCATATGTTCACCCAACCACGACTAGTCGCATAATGAAAATTCTTTCATTTTATCCGTCGTGCTTTGCGGTCGCTATGCGCACACCGCCTGGTGTTGGATGATCAACGTTCGTATGTATCTTACACGTCTTCATGAAACATTGATGATTTTTTTTCTTAATCGCATTACAATGTGTGCAATATAATTCGTCACATTTATGTCTGGTTGTTTTTTTTTCAGACAGCCGTCATGCGCAGTACTTTTTTATAACATGTGTGTCGCAAAAAACATGTGTTTACAAGGTGTTTCGAAATTACCCCTGCTGGTTTTGAATACTTTTTTTGTTAAATGTCTGACAAAACATTGTTGGTTTCTGAATATTACCGAACACACAGTACACTGCTGAAAGAAACCCTCTTCTTTACTACACCCATCATAAGAAGAGTAACAAGATTGACAACTGTACACCGTCTTACACATGTGACTAGCTTTAGTTTTCCAATGACGAAAATACCTCATACACCAAAAACAGTATATATTTGCATTACATTTTGAAAACGTATACGGCGATAAATTACGTCATAATGCTGGTCATTAAGCCATAAAAATATAACGTTGTTTGTTACATGATGTAACATGTTATTTTCATCCAGACGTGAATCATATACAATTGTCATGTTGTTGTTTGGAAAAAACCACTAAATCAATATTATCAACGCTTAAGTATTTTTCATAAGAAACATGTAGTTGATCTACACGTACACCACCGCGAACCATGTTACACTTATTGTAAACGTCTGCAATTTTTTCATCTGTATATAGTGTGTTAAGGTCATTATCTCGGTTCTGGTTAATTTTTGTAGAGTTGTTGTCTTTTTCAAGGAACGAACGTCCAACTAACAACGCTATAGCAAAACAACAGTTTGTGGTGCCGGTAATCTGAAAAACACCGTGCCGAACTTCGCACCCAATTTCGGCACCATTCTTACCCATATGTTTATACAATTTTAGCTGGTTTTTCATTTTTCCTTTTACCGTGCGCGAATGGGGAACATAATTGTTCGGAAATACAAACAAACTAACCATACTGCTCCAGCCATTGTCAATTACCTCTTTAGCGTTACTTTGCATGTGATGCTCGAAAATATCAAAAAACTTTTCTGTATTAAAATCTCCAACGTTTAATATAGCAGTCAAAAAAGCCGTACGTGTTGCTCTAGAGATATAAAAAGTGCTTTATCAGTGTCTGAACTAGCTATATACTTCATCATATTAATTAAATAACTAAACACAAGTCTTAAATTTTCTAAAAAATCAGGTATTGTACTAGCATTGTTCACCCCTATCGACATGTGATATATGTATTCATTGTAACCAAGTCTCCTGTGAACATGAGTTCTCTCAACATTAAACGCATTAGATTTTACTGGTCGATTGTTATTTTTTCGTACTAACTGTATAATTTCTCTAATATCAGTATCATTAATGTCAAAGTTTCTTCGACCGTTAGAGCGCAGAGAATTATTTCTTTGATTAATATTGTCACGCGCCATTTGTGCTATTTCGGCCATGCTGTCCGGTGTAATATTACTACGGCCAACAGATTTGTTTTTGCTCACCATATCTATGATTTTTTGAATATCCTCGTCATTTATTCTTGCGCGTTTTCGTTGATCTTCGTCTTCGACGTCTCGTTTTCTTTTCGACAACGCCATTGAATGCATAAAAATTGTTTAATTTCGTATTTGTCTTCTTCTTCTTCGTTGTAATCTATTTCTTCACTATTCCGTCTGGCACATCGATTTCAACACCGGAACTCCATTTTACAAATATACATCTGAATGTTACCAATGGTGTATCCTTATTACCCAAACACCCCAATTTTGAACCCATTTTGAAACAAGTCTTGCTACGAGTAAGTCCTATGGAATAATGGGTGATACAGTTATACATGTATCGATATATATATATATATATTAAACAAAAATCCAACGTCGGATCATGACAAATACACGGCAAGTTACAATGTGGACGATAACGATGAAGACATATTATTCTCACCTGTTATGTTCCCTGAATGTGTTGCAGACTATGCTCATGATAAAGAAACTATAATATAGCTCACGCCCGAGCTATTACGCAGTAGACTCTGCGAATACACCACAGCGTGCAGCGTACCGCCGGACGTTGTATCTAAAATAACGAGAATAATAGAATATGTAGAAAAACATGATACTGATTACGTCGGTATTGCTGTAGTATACAATGAATGCTAGACGAAGACAAAGATTTATCCGTAATTTTATCAACAAAATTGTGGATCAACCCTGCATACATCATAATACTCAAAGTATACGCAAATCAAAACAATGTGTATCAAACACTTTAAAAGGTACAAGATGTCGAAGACGTACAGCTCATACAGAAAAATGTTGGAGTCATTTGGCCAAGTAAATAATTTACGTATTAAACCCTCAAACGTGATTGGTGCGGGAAAAGGGTTATTTGCATGGAAAACCCAATACCGCGGGGAAGTATAATCTCTAAATACACAGGACGAAAGAGAACAAAAGCTAAAATTGATTAAAAAATACGGTGATGAGTTGGCTAAGTATGCTCTGTGTAATCAGCGGGGTATATGTGTTGATGCAAACCACACAACCGATGCTGCAGCATGATTTGCAAATGATAGTCGTGGTGCACCGTTTCAAAACAATGCTAAAATAAAAGGCGAAAATGTATTTCGTTTAAAAGCTAGTAAAAGAATCCCACCACATCATGAAATTTTTACATCATATGGTCAAGAATATTGGAAGGGACAATAATATAAAATATGTTGTATTTAAATTAACATTTCATTTTGTATTACATACAAGCAAAAGTAGAAGCTAAAAATGAGCAATCAAAAAGGTGGTCGTTATAGTAAAGATGATATTGCAAAAATAATGACACAATACTGGCAAAAATTAAAAACAAAACAGACAAAGAGACTACGAAAACGTATACGGTGAAGCAAACAGCAAGTTACAAAAACGGGACAAAGTGTAGGTGATGTGTGGCTTGGTAATGGCGGTGATAATGTGAAACAAAATGGTGGTGATATTTGGGAAGCTTGGAAGAAAACAAGACCACGAAGAAGTAACTTTTACAAACAAAAAGGCGGTAGTATACCAAAAAAGAAAAAACCCATGAACACAATACCAGTTATATATCAGTATCATCAATAAATTTGTAAAATGATTTGACAATAAAAATATTAATAAACTCTTACCTGAACTTTTTTCCTTTTTCAATTCCTCTTCGCATTGCCTTGTTTCAATAACGATGTGATTATCACCGAGGCGTTATTATTTGTGTATCATAGCAACACATATCCACGACATATATAGATAAAAATTTTAATAATAACAGAATTTACCATATATGGGCAATTCTTTAAACTTTGCACGTTTGTACATAAAAAGATATAATTTTGACATAGTCATAAATATTTATAAAACTTTCTTTAAAGTTTTAAATTTTGTTGTTCGTCAACAGAGGAAGCTGTCCTCGTCCATAGCAAGCCTCAAATGACTACTATTACTTAATCTACATGTCATTATATATCGTTTCGAGTTAATTTCCTTAGTGCGTTTCGATATTCGCATATTTTTTTTCCACCTGGCAAATACTTCCACTTACTATCTCCGTCTTTATCGTAGTTTTGCAATATTAATATGTAGGGTCTCATACGTCTATCAATACTCGATTTTCGTCCGTCAAAAGAAAACTCGCCATTCTCGCTTGGTGTAACACTTATGGGTTGCCAACACATAAACACGTAAATTTGCTAATATCATTGGTCGTTCAACAACTTGTAAAACAGATAAAAGCACACCTTGGTCTGCAAACCTTGTCATTATTTTCTTCTTTACCATTCGTTGCTCAAATTGAATAATGCCGACAGTTTTCACCAGGGGCGGATCCAGACCGATGCCAGCGATGCGAATGCATCGGTCAAAATTGAGAAATCATGATTCATGTTGCTTGAAATATATAGATATATAATTCGCCAATAGTCAAAGCACACATTAACTCATTAACGCGCAATGCGCCCGTATGCGCCCTGAGATTGACAAGTGGGTAATGGACAATGCGCCCGAATGCGCCCTGGCATGACACCTTAATTTGCGGGCATGATATTTGAGCACGTGTTTATCGGGTTGCATAGCAACGGATACGAAAATAGAACGTGAAATTCGAGCTTTTCAACGGTGTATCATGCAAGAAAATCGGTCAGAAACTCGCAAAGTTTTTCAAGTTTAAAATCTTAGTTTTCCAAAAATAATGAATAATGGCGATTCTGTTACAAAGAAAGATTTTACAGCAAGTTTTAAAAGCAAGAAAAGAAGAGGTTTCTGAATCAACTACAATGAAAATTTGGCATGAAAGGAAAGCGAATGTATTGACATTTTGGGGCCAAGTTTTTCTGTGAACCATGCGCGAGATTTTCAGCCAAAAAGATGAGGATTTCTCCAAACTTTATTAAAAATAGAAGTCGGAAATCACAAGAAAGATGAACACGGAACACAAGTGAGCAGATACAATTTTTAAAGGGTATTTTTGAGTAGAAATATGCGATCAAACACTCACAAAATTCGACTGCATTAATGTTGGTTGAATCTAGTTTAAAGTTATCTTTTTAGACGAACTGTTTATGCAAATTTGGGCACAATTTCGACTGTTTTCGTAACCCAATTGTTGGTCTTCTTGTTCAAGTTGTTATTTTAGCTAAAGTATGTTTCAAACGACACCAGATTAAATTACTGTGTGCGTACGTGCCCTATTTGGCAAGAATACTTCGAGTATTAAATTACACTAAGTAAGTAGGGTACTCCAAAATCACTGTTATATCTATTTTCATCAATTTAGTCTTAAAATGACAACTCGTTTCAGACATATTGTGATTTGAAATAAGTGTTTGAATTAATGCGCTTGCTTGCCGCGTGCGAATTCTCAAAAAGTCCGCACTTGATTTCTAAAGCTTTTAAAATGCTTTTTGTATTGGGTTTTATATCCTCATAAAACTTTAAGTCGATAAGGCAGATAGTAATGTTGATCCAACCTCATTTTCTAGTAACTACATGTTGAATCAGAAGGAAAAGTTATCAAAATTTGGTCATGACGGTTGTTTGCCGTTGTTGTCGCTTCTCTCTGAAATGGCTTCCTTTGCGGGAAGCCATGAAACTGAAGTCCCAACAAAAACATAATTTAGCTGTCCTTTCGGGCCCATTGCTCGCTTATTTATCATGAAATCGTTTCACTAGAACATTTTTAATAATGTCTATGGGAAACTTTGTAATTTCCTGAACTAAAAGTTTATGGTTTTGAGGTGTTTATTTTATAAAATAGCACGTGTGACAAAATGGCACTAATGTGGTTTCTCATGTCTGACAAACAACCAAAGATGAAAGTCCTTATTTCACCCTTTTATAGCTATGTTGAATACCTGACTATTAGGTTATCTTTTTCATTTGAGCATACAGATAACATTTCTACACAATTAGTCCTAATGAAAGCTTGTTTCAAATTAAAAAAAAGCGATTGTTTTTCAGAGCCAGACTTCAAAAGAGAACGCGTGTCTGACATTTTATAGCAGCCTACATTGGCGCGCAAAATAATTTTGGCTAAAAACCGTTTCTTTCCAAACAGAAACATGAGAAAATTGAGCTAAAAGGCTTACCTGATGTATGTTTAAAATATTTTTCTCTTTATGGTGTTTTTCAGTGCTTTGAGTAGAGAAGTGAATAACTTTTGGTTTTGTCACCGCAATTTGCCTTTGAAAATGTCGGCTGTCATTGTCTGTGTTAAAAACACCTCAGAAAATTCCTATTTTCTCACCTTCCCATCCTTGGTTTATATTGAAAACAAATAGATTCTAGTACCGTATGTCCTTTTAAATATATTTGAGGTAATTAAAAACTCCAAAGATGTACAAGCACTGTGTTTTGGCTTGCACACTTTGTTGAATTTTAACACTTAGTTACTGTTCTAAATTTCATGTTGTAAACATCTTGCCCAAAAAAGCAAAGGAGTATTTTTTATAATTTTTGATCATTTTCTAATTCATATCCCAATAGATGAAAATTGGTTATAATATAGATATGTACTAATTTAGTAAATTTTTTTTTTGTTGTTGTTATATAAATATATGGAGATATTGCCCCTTTAGGTGATGAGTGACATGAAAAAAATAGTGTCACTGGTTTACAAATAAAAATTCTCATTGAAAAAACTAATGATATATATAGGTATGCAAGTTCATTTAAACTAAATTTGTTTCATGCAACTGTTTCTGAGATATTGCCATTTTGGTGAAAGCTCTTGAAATCAGTCACGTATTCGCCATATTGCTTGCACGTTAGGGGGGTAGAAACATTGTAGCAGCTTGCGCGTTAATGAGTTAAATACTGAGCATGCTCAACTAGAGTTGAGCATGCGCAGTGTTTAACCGGATACCATGTTTTCTTGGTATCTGGTTTGGATTTTGCCACAGAACCCCTCGTCGCGCTCTGTTGACCGCGCGTAAGGACTCTGATGATGACGTCACTACGGAGCACCATAGTTCACAGACCCTGCTTTATTGCGTCTCAACGCACATGCATTAGCCATTATGAACTATTTTAGTCTTCTTTGTGCCTATACAACTAATGGGCCCCCTATGCTACAATATGTCAGTTTTGTTACAAATGGTAGAAAGTTCTAATCTCCAACAAACTATTTACTTGAACAACAAAATATCAATATTAAAATATTCAGCAGTTTATAGACGAGTTTATTGCTCGTGTGTTTAGTCGACTTTACCAAGTTTCTTTGGACATGGCAAGTACTCTTGTTTAAAAGGTAGCGTTATTATTACAATTTTATTACAATTAACATAAACACTATTTAGCAAGAGCTATGAATCTCAACCAGCAAACACAAAACTATGGTAAAAAGCACAGTACCAATGCGAATGGTCCTAAATATTAAGGCCAAAATTCCTTTCGTAAAACATCCTTATGAATTTGGGTAAGGCGTACCCTAACTTGGGGTGGAATGACATTATTCTCACCTTGGTACGGCGGATCAGCCTTACCAACGCAGGATTTTTTTAGGTGGTAGTGACAATCGCCTTCCTTTCCCAGCTTCCTAGTACCATCTGCGGGGCTGTTGTACGAGCGCCGTTCTTTTCTTGCCAAGCATATATCATAAGGGGGTGGATATATATGTCCCTCTTCATTTCTCATTGGCCTCTGACATTTCCCCTGGCACGCTGAAATTTGTCTGCTCACCCACTTGAGAAAGAATCCAGAATTCTCGAAGGGACTTGATGTTGAAGGAACAGGTCGATCATCAAAAGGACTGGCGTAGTTTTGGACAGTAATGTTTCGCTCAGTAGATTGACCGTACTTCTTCTTTGGCTTTCCGCCCTTTTTTCTAGCACCTTTGGGTGTCACTCAATATCATGCCTGTCAAATAAACGGATGTCCCTTTAGATTTCTTGCACCAATCAACAAAAGATAAGAGGAGATTCATGGTGTGTGCTACTGCCACAGTGTGTGCACATATGCGGGTAGACATCCACATCTTGCACCCATCATCACATGTAAATCTTCCAAACTTCTCTTTTGTTACAAAATGAGGCCTTTTGCCAGACTTACTTTCAACCAACTTCGAATCAAGGTTTCCTGGTGCGTTGACAATAGCAGATGACTTGGAAATAATTGCTTCTGCCTTGGACCATATACCACAGAGTGTTGCCTCTGGAATACCCGCATCTCGGAAACCAACTGCCAAAGGACAAGGCAAATTCTGTTGATCATGGGATGCACTTGGTACGCTTGCTGTATCATGTGGGACCACTTCTGCTTGGATACGAGCATTTTGAATCGTTGCTTTTCTGAACTTTTTCAGGTGTGCTTCTCTCTGATCTTTCTCCCATCCATGCCAATCTGCCAGGTCGACCTATACAGAATGGAACAATAGACCTTTATAAAAAGGTTGACGTCAGCAGGCTTGTGACGTCGTTTGCAGAGAAAATCCAGAAAGCCTCAGAGTTGTTTACTTGTTTTGAGTTTTTTTAAAGCCAACAGAAGCCAGTATTATGGTAAGTTTGAAGTAAATGTTTCTATATATATAGGCCAAATGAGTTTTCATATTCATCGTATAAATTTTATTTGTTTTTATATTAGATTGTACATTATTTTACTGTCATTTTATTTTATTTTATTTTACAGATTTTGCCATTTAATACAAACTATTACACAAAATTAGTTAACACAAACTATGACACACAATAGATTACATGGCTGGAATTACCACACAGAGATTAGTTCTCCAATAACGGGGTTCCAAGACATTCGAAATACACAGTATGAACAATAACAGGCTTGCAGACCAACAAACAAACAAACAGACAGACAGACGTGAAGATCAACAAACAAGCACAATGAATTACAATCAACGACTTACAATTTATTTAACAACATGCTCGATTCAACAAGTTAGTCAATGGGCGAGTTGAATGACACTTCACACAAACAGACTTAAATGTTCTCGGATCCTCGGGTTTATAAATTTCCTTGGTGAGATACTTATAAACATGAACATTTAGCAAATTGTTTGCTCGGTTTTCTTTTCTGTTTCTCAAATTCATCAGTGTAAACAGCTCCGCTTTCGTTTCTGAAAATTTAAACTTTAAATCTCTACACTTCAGCCGAAATTTTAAGTTATTTTTGGTAGCATTTTCAATATCTTAAAAATGCTAGATGCGCGACCAGGATTCATAATAAAGTTTCTGAAACGTTCTCTGATCGTAAATTTTTTATTTGAAACACAAGCTTTCGACTGCCAGTCTGCAGTCTTCGACAGGTAAAGTGATAATAAACTATTCTATACGGATATAGCTACAAGGACAGTGGTTTACAATTACAATTATAATGACATGCAATATAACAATGATTAGTTCCGCCTACGTAAACTCTCAGTGAAACGAGTATACTTATAAATATAAAACTATGTCTATGATCTGTTCTTTTTTAATAAAAATCTATATTGTTCTGGTAAATGTTGTGCATTGTTGTCAGAATTGGCTGTGGTTGCTGTATGCCAGGACTCCATTGTTGCTCTGTGTCGATAGGTTGCCTTGTCTAAGATTTCGCACTCATCAAAGTTGATTTTATGGTCCTGAGTCCAATCATGTTTTGCTATGTTTGAGCCGGATTTCCATTGTTTCACGTTTCTTTTATGTTCCTTTTTCCTCGTTTCGAGAGCTCTACCAGTCTCACCTATGTACCTCCAGGAGCAGTCTGCGCAATTAATCTTGTACACGACGTTGGTCTGTTTTTCGGGAAGTGGTCTGTCCTTTGGTGACGGAAAGCCTTGTTCTAATGTTCGGAGTGGTTTCGTTGTTGTTCTGATGTTGTATCGTTTGAGTAGTCTTTTCAGGGGTTCCGTTGAGCCGTTAATGTAAGGGAGGACTGCGTAGCTGGAATTTTTCTCTGGTTCGACATTTTCGAAAAACATACGTACAAGTTCTTCGGGTGATGGCACGAATTCTGTTTTCCTTGCACGTCTCTTCTCGACTTCGTCCAGAAATATTTTAGGATACCCATTACTTCTCAGAGCGACAAAAACACGATCTTTCTCTTGTTGCTTGCCTTCGTTCGTGTTAGGGAGATGGGCTGCTCGGTGAAGGAGTGTTCGTGCTGCGCTGATCTTGTGTTGTTTGTCATGATGGGAGTTGTAGTCTAGGTATCTGTCAGTGTGTGTAGGTTTACGGTAGACGTTAACGTTCAGACACCCGTTGTTACGGGTTACCATTGTGTCTAAGAATGAGAGTTGTCCGTTTTGTTCTTGTTCAATAGTGAAGTTTATGTGTGGGTCAATGGCATTCAGTAAATTGTGGAAATTAGTAATAGCGTGTTTTTTGATGATTGAAAAACATCATCCACAAAGCGAAACCATTTTTTAGGTGGCGTGTCGGTTCGGTTAAAGGCTAGTTCCTCGATTTCCTCCATACAGAGGTTTGCCACAATAGGGCTAACGGGACTGCCCATAGCACAACCGTGAATTTGTTTGTACGTCTCGTTATTATAGTTGAAATAGCTGTTTGACAAAGTAAAGCGTAAGAGTTTAATGATATCATCAATGGATAAATTAGAACGTTGTCCTAGTGTGTCATCTTTGCTAAGTTTATTGCGAATGTGTTCACATGCTCTATCGACTGGAATGGCAGTAAACAATGACACAACGTCAAATGAAATCATAATTTCGTCATCCTCAATGGTGGTGTTAATCAGTTTATTAGTGAAGTCAGTAGAGTTAGTGACTGAGTAACCGTTGTGATTTTGTAATGGTGACAAAATATGTGCAAGGCGTGCAAGAATCAGCATTTGCCACGAAGAAATACGATCTACTAATCGTATCATAGCTGACAACCGACACGAACTGTCAACGTTAATTTCCGATGACTCCCTCGCTCGTTTTTCCCAGTTTTTGAAAAGTAGAGCTGAATCGGTCCAAAATCGCATCACCACGAGGCATCAAAAAAAGTTACAGAATTTGAGACAAGAATTTAGAAACGGAAACACAACTGACTCAGAGAAATGGGTTATTAACCTTTCCAGCAGACCCCTGTCCACAGACGAACGTGCCATACTAGGAAAAGGCCCTAAGTTTGCTCTTACACCATCTATTATCCCTTACAAGAACATAGTTGCCGAAATCGAAGCCGCCATCACTGATTTACCGGACGAGTCCAAAGATGCCATACGAACATCAGCTGCGAACATTCTAAATCGCTCCAACTTGCCCAAACATAATAACACCACCGCCGCCGAACGCAAAGCACTTGAAGGCCTGAAGAAAGACGGGACGCGCGTTGTCATGAAAGCAGATAAAGGCAATTGCTTTGTGGTCATGGACAAGAAAGAATATGACGAGAAGATGCAAGGTCTCCTGTCTGACCCAAACACCTACGACAAAGTAACGAAGCCTCCTTTTAAAAGAATTGAACGTGAGTTAAACTCCCAGTTGCTCGAACTCAAACGACAACAAAAACTTGACGAACGAACATACAAAAAACTGCATTCAACTGACGGTATACCCCCCGCTATCCGCGGGTCAATCAAACATCACAAACCAGGCAATCCATTGGGCCCCATTGTAACATGTAGGAACACCGCTCTTTATAACATGTCCAAACACCTCGCACATATTTTGTCACCGTTACAGAATCACAACGGTTACTCAGTCACTAACTCTACTGACTTCACTAATAAACTGATTAACACCACCATTGAGGATGACGAAATTATGATTTCATTTGACGTTGTGTCTTTGTTTACTGCCATTCCAGTCAATAGAGCATGTGAACACATTCGCAATAAACTTAGCAAAGATGACACACTAGGACAACGTTCTATAATTTATCCATTGATGATATCATTAAACTCTTACGCTTTACTTTGTCAAACAGCTATTTCAACTATAATAACGAGACGTACAAACAAATTCACGGTTGTGCTATGGGCAGTCCCGTTAGCCCTATTGTGGCAAACCTCTGTATGGAGGAAATCGAGGAACTAGCCTTTAACCGAACCGACACGCCACCTAAAAAATGGTTTCGCTTTGTGGATGATGTTTTTCAATCATCAAAAAACACGCTATTACTAATTTCCACAATTTACTGAATGCCATTGACCCACACATAAACTTCACTATTGAACAAGAACAAAACGGACAACTCTCATTCTTAGACATAATGGTAACCCGTAACAACGGGTGTCTGAACGTTAACGTCTACCGTAAACCTACACACACTGACAGATACCTAGACTACAACTCACATCATGACAAACAACACAAGATCAGCGCAGCACGAACACTCCTTCACCGAGCAGCCCATCTCCCTAACACGAACGAAGGCAAGCAACAAGAGAAAGATCGTGTTTTTGTCGCTCTGAGAAGTAATGGGTATCCTAAAATATTTCTGGACGAAGTCGAGAAGAGACGTGCAAGGAAAACAGGATTCGTGCCATCACCCGAAGAACTTGTACGTATGTTTTTCGAAAATGTCGAACCAGAGAAAAATTCCAGCTACGCAGTCCTCCCTTACATTAACGGCTCAACGGAACCCCTGAAAAGACTACTCAAACGATACGACATCAGAACAACAACGAAACCACTCCGAACATTAGAACAAGGCTTTCCGTCACCAAAGGACAGACCACTTCCCGAAAAACAGACCAACGTCGTGTACAAGATTAATTGCGCAGACTGCTCCTGGAGCTACATAGGTGAGACTGGTAGAGCTCTCGAAACGAGAAAAAAGGAACATAAAAGAAACGTGAAACAATGGAAATCCGGCTCAAACATAGCAAAACATGATTGGACTCAGGACCATAAAATCAACTTTGATGAGTGCGAAATCTTAGACAAGGCAACCTATCGACACAGAGCAACAATGGAGTCCTGGCATACAGCAACCACAGCCAATTCTGACAACAATGCACAACATTTACCAGAACAATATAGATTTTTATTAAAAAAGAACAGATCATAGACATAGTTTTATATTTATAAGTATACTCGTTTCACTGAGAGTTTACGTAGGCGGAACTAATCATTGTTATATTGCATGTCATTATAATTGTAATTGTAAACCACTGTCCTTGTAGCTATATCCGTATAGAATAGTTTATTATCACTTTACCTGTCGAAGACTGCAGACTGGCAGTCGAAAGCTTGTGTTTCAAATAAAAAATTTACGATCAGAGAACGTTTCAGAAAATTTATCAATTTTAGTGTCGCAGACGATACGAAGGGCCTAATACGTCTTATAGCACCGATTCCCGCACTGACTTTTGAACATATCATATCAATATGTTTTTCCCAGGTCAATTTTTCGTCAATGTTGACACCAAGGCAAGTATAATTTTCAGTCCTGGGTATTTGAACGTTATTAACAAGAATTGGGTTACCAGATACCTTATGTTTAATATTATACGCTGATCCAATAAACATATATTTCGATTTTGTCGGATGAATTTGGAGCTTATTTTGTAGCATCCATTTTCGAATATTTTCAAGATCAAGGTTTATTTTAATAACAATGTCATCACAATCTTTAGAGGATAGATAAATTTCTGTGTCATCTGCGTAGAGGGATGGAGTTGAATATTTTAAGGAGTCAGGCATATCGTTTATGTATAATAGGAATAATAAGGGGCCCAAGGTAGATCCCTGCGGTACACCACATTTTATCTCTCTCGGGCTCGATAAATGACCGTTTACCAGACATTGCTGCTCTCTATCAGATAGATAAGACTTGAACCAATTTAGTGGAATTCCTGATATACCAAAGTAGTTAAGCATCTTTTTTAATAGTATTTCATGGTTTATACAATCAAAGGCCTTACGTACATCAAGGAACACGACACAATTTATTTTGCCATTATCCATATTCTCAAGTAGATCGTTACACATTTGTATCAAAGAGGACAGTGTGGAGTGTTTAGGTCGAAATCCCCATTGAAACTTGGAGAGTATAAGAAATTATCAGAAACAAAGCTATAAATTTGTCTAAAAACCTCTCTTTCAAAAACCTTACTTACGATTGGCAGTATAGAAATCGGCCTATAATTTTCACATTTTAGTCTGTCGTCTGATTTATAAATTGGATTCACTCGAGCCCGTTTCCAGTCGTCAACATAAATCCCTGTTTCGAGTGATAAATTAAATATATAGGACAGTGACGGAGCTATGATATCTGCAGTTAGTTTAAGGACTTTGGCTGGAATTTTATCCAAACCAGTAGATTTGTTAGTCTTTAAATTCATTAAAGCCAACGCTACATTTTCCACATTAATTTGATGGAACTGAAATTCTGTGTTTATTTAAGTGTTAGGAAAGCCACCGTTATTCATTTCCTCTTCAGAAAGTTCATGATTTACTTCAGATGCCAAATTTGGGCCTATGTTAACGAAATATTCAATAAAGGCTTCGGCAATAAGTTTCGAATTGGAGGTGTTACAATTATTAACAGAGATTTCTGTAATATTGTTGGCTTTATTATTCTTTCCAGTAAGAGAGTTTATTAGCGACCAGGTTTTTTTCAAATCATTTAATTTAGCACACTCTCCAATCTCTCTATGATAGAAATCGGCTTTTGTTTTACGCATTCGTATATTTATTTTATTCCGCATAAACTGATACTTTTCCCAGTGCATTGTAGCGTTAAATTTTATAGCCTTTTTTTATGATAATCTCTTTCCCTCATTAATTGCTTGATAGTAGGCGTAATCCAAGGAACTGGGTTGGCTTTAGTTCTTCTATGTCGAAGGGGTGCATGCTTGTTTAGGATTTCGTGAAAAATAGATTTCCAAACAATCCAACATGTATTAGGATCATCGTATCTCAGAATCGTATCCCAATGTACCTGAGATAGATCTGAACGAAATTGAGAATCTGAAAAATGTTTAAAGTCCCGGACTTCTTTCACATTAGGTCTAAATTTAGATAATTTGAGTTTGCGTACAGTGTACACCAAGCTATGATCGGAGATGCCAATGTGTAAGACACCTGATGTCGAAATGTTTTCAGGAGTATTTGTCAGAATAACGTCAATAAGTGACGATGTAGTCTCAGTGACTCTCGTAGGTTCATTTATAACTTGTGTTAATTGATATAAGGAGCAGAATGCTTGTAGTTTTTGAGTACAGAAACCCTGAAGCACCTTACTAAAATCACAGTTTAAGTCCCCAAGCAAAATTATTTCCTTATCTTCTATATCACATTTAAAAAGAAATAGTTCAAAGTCATTAAATATGTCAATATCAGAACTAGGTGGTATATAGTCAAGACATCCCATTTGGCCAAATGATAGATTCACGACGTCTATTATCGCTAATTGTGCTTGTAAAACCCTCCATTATTTGAATCTCCTCGTCGCTTTTATCAGCCATAACTGCCAAGATATATTAAGAAAATACTCGCAAAACAGGATTGCTAAAGATTGGCAGACGATGTGCCATATTTTTGACGAAATTTGATCCAACCGAGTAATCGACACTACAAGCCAAAAATGGACATCTTATTCAGCAGGCCTTTCAGCAGCTTCGTCTCAGATTTCAAATTTTTACCTGCGAACGGGCATACTGATAACGAGTTATATGGCCTGAGGAGGAGGTAGCTGTATTGTACTGCAAAAAGTCTTTCAATATACCAAAAATAAAACATCTGTAATGCAAAAAATTTTTATCGAAAAAAACGAGAATTTTGGGGGTTTTTTTTTGGCATCGCATATTTTTTTGTATATTGCTTATAGTACTGTAATAGTCTATGTTGTAAGTGAAATATTCCACGAAAAAAATTGGGGATCACAGTGCTTCTTTCCCAAACACACAAACCAATAGGCTATTATAGAGTGAATTTCGTAAGCGCGTGTTGCTATAGTAACGAACTCCTACTGCCCCCGGCACAGTCTAGACCTGCGATCATTAGTTGACTAGCGGGATCGATTCCCAGGAACCGCCAACGTGCATTATGTGCATGGTTTCACTTTGCAGATGCTTCTGTCTCGGAAAATAAAAATAAAACTCTCTTCCGTCTGTCACTTGGCCCGTCCGTCTCCCAATCTTATTTTTTGTCCTTATCTTCTTTATTTATCCGCATGTTCATTTGTTTAGGTCAATGCACCACGACGACGGACTCCGAATTCAAAGATTTTAACGATGTTCTTTTGCTGACAGTGGACGACACGGAGTTTAACGAAGCGCAAAAAATATTAAAGAATGTCGAAATACCCAGCAAGAAAGGCGACAGAGACAAAAACTGTTGTTTTGGAGAAATAGGCGGAAATAAAGTGACGCTCTTGAAAGTTCCACACTTCGGCAAGACCGGCGCTTCTACAGGCCATGACGTTCTGGTTTATGAAACAATCCAAGAACTTAAACCGAAAGCTATTGTTAGTCTGGGAGTTTGCGATGGTGTAAGGAAAGAAGAACATTTCCTTGGTGATGTCGTAGTGTCATCACAAGTTTACTTTCTTGAGCAACAGGAGGAAGGTTTGTCGACTTTTTATCGTACAACGTATGACTGCAATTTGGGACTGGTGCATTTGTTCGACCGTGGGAAATTTGCGTGGGTTGGTCCTTGTGACAATGTGGTAGTTCCAAAAGTCCATGTGGGTCAGTTTACGACAGGTTTACAAGATGGTGACGAGAAAAAGAGGGATTCGCACGAGGCCGGAACCATTGGAATAGACACGGCGTCAAAAAGTAGGCATACTAATGTGAACGATCGAAATAATTTCCTCGTAAAACAGCAAAAAATAAACAAAAACTGTTTGCTAAATTGTCACTTAGAAGCGTCGCCCCGGGTGAATTTTCTAAATCTTCCAAATCTGAGGAGAAAATTATTGTGCAGTAAGGATAATTAAACAGACAGGCTCTAATGAAAAGATGCAACCAATTTCATAACTAATATCATTTTAGTCAATTTACTCGTTTCGCATTAGTTAAAAACTGTAGTGATTAAAGATTAATCGGGACGAATGCGAGCCCTCGTCCATTTCGCACGATCACGTGGGTGCAGAAATTTTAAACACAAAATCTAAATAAACAACGTGAAAATTCATATTGTGCTAAATTACTCTCAAAATTGAAATTACTCTCGTGCTACGTACTCGCGGTCAAGGTCGGCGCTAAAGTGGGGTGTGGGCGCCAGATAATCGGCTAAATATTGTGGTGGTTAAACACAAAATAAGATGAAAAATATGCTGTCGGGAAATTTTTTATGTTCATTCGCCGCCACACCCCCTCCCTCCACCCTCGCCAACCATTTTTGGAAAAGAAATATTAATTAGTGGTTGTAGTGACTCGGCTAAATTTTCGTTGATCATGAGAACTTCGCAAAACTCACTGACACACACCATTCAAAGAGGTCTAGCGTCGCCACTTCTCGCGGTATTATAAATATTTCGCCAAACAAACGTTATTTCCACTATTCAAAAGCACATTATAATTTTATATTCAAATATTCAAGATGGCTCCCATTCCCACAGCTTGTGAGCTTGGGATGAAAGTGCCCAAACAGGCATCGAATCTGCAAGTTTCTGATGTCCGATTAGAATCTCTAGCCAGAGCCTCGTGGAGACATGAAACTCGTCAGAAAGTTGTCACCTTCGGGCTAAAGCTCTCGCGTGTGTAAAACATGAAAGTCTTCGAGTTCCGATGTTTCTCTCAGAAGTCAAGAATAACCTCAGTTTCAACGTTTTAAGGTGTATATGCAACTTGTCAGAACTATGGAGTTCCCTGGCTGTCCTGTAAATCTATTGCAAAGTGGGCAACTGATGAATGTCAAAATTCGACTTGGCGCCAATTTGGGGCAGCAGTTTCAGCTTCTTACGTTCAACATGTGCTGAAGAGATTTTATATTCCAGACGAAGTTCAAGGTATGTACATAGTTACCGAAAATATGGAGAATAATACACGCACAAACACTCTGATAGTCCTTGTTTGTCTAAAATTAACAGTGTTTAGGGTAACTTAATGTTCTGGTTTAAATTTCCTGTTTAATTTAGATAACCACAGTCCTGGTTAATTTGATCACTATCGTGGCTGATTTAACCAGGATTCCCGGTTCATTTAATGGTTCTATAAGGTTGATTTAACCAAATCATGTTAGGTGGATTAATAACCAGGAATTCTTGGTTGATAATCAACGTACCATAATCTGGTTAATCCAACCATATAGCCCGGTTAAATCAACCAGGGATCCTGGTTAAATTAGCCAGACCCATGATCAAATTAACGAGAACTGTGGTTGGTTGATTATAACAATGAAAGACAATAAAACTATCGAACTAATCTAAAGAACGAGTCACGAACAATGATCAGCTAGTTTTGTTTCGGATTAATTGCTGAAAGCCAATCACAAAACATGATCATTTTAGGTAGGTCTTTATCCATGTGTTTAAATTAACCAGGAAATGTAACCAGGAACATTAACTTACCCAAAGCAATGTTAATTTTAGATTAAGCAGGCATTTTTAACTAGGGTGTTTTTAGAGTGTACACGGATGTGCGGAAATATGAAATTGATTTCGAGTGTTGACCAGAATACATTTGTCCACACGAGAAATAAATTTTGTATTTCCGAGCGTCCATGTATTGTTCTGTTTAGTTAGTATACAAAAAATTGTCCAATTACCTTGCAAAAATAGCATTAATTTAAACTATAATGCTAACTCAGCGAAGATCAATAAAACACTCCCTTTGTTACAATATAATATTATAACCTCAACTTTAAATTGTCCAATCAAAAAACAGCGTTAAAATTGGGCCATATGACGTTGAGATTTTTTACCCAATTCTATGATTACATAATGCAGCTTGAGATATCATCTGCCGATCGTTAGGACTAACAGTTGAAGGTTTTTGTAGATGGAAATTTCAAGCGGAAGATTATATAGAATTTTATACTTAACCAGGAACAGCTGGGAAAAATACAACTATAGACCCTCTGGCAGGAATCGAACCTGCGATTCCGTTGAAGCGCTCTAACCAACTGTGTTACAGATTTCAGTTGTTGAGCTCAAACCAGAAGTTCGTGTATATATATATATATATACAATATGGTGGGTGATTTATCTCCTGAACGAATGACCCCTCCTCCCCCTCCCCACTCCAATTGGTGTACTAACACCTTTTTTGTAACGACTAAACATAAGCTAGTGCTTCACTGCTTTTTGCTCTTTCACCTTTAGTCCAGCATGGAACGGCTAAAGTTTAACCGTGTTTTCTATATTTGACCACAGTGTTTGACAAGTCCGTGCCTAACCCCTGCCTTCCTCCCATGGTGCCCCATTTCATTGGTCGACAACAGGAATGTGAAGATATCTTGCGTGTGTTGACGTCCACATCTGCTCAGGTAGTCTCTGCATCTGGACCCCCTGGTTTTGGCAAAACCTCATTGGCAATTGCAGTAGGACACCAACTTAGACAGCTCGGAGTACCAGTTTATTTCCTTTCCTTGAGAAGCGTCAAAACAGCGGAAGAACTGATCTCTGACCTCTTAAACACCTTTGCACATACGTCTTCTGATCTAACGGGGCGAGAGCGTTCAAAACTATGCGGACTCCTCAGTGCAATTCCTTCCAATATTTGTATCATACTCGATAACGCCGATGACCTTTTTGAGAGTAGTGGTGAAACGAGCCAACATGTTTTAGACCTACTGGAAAAGATCTTTTCTCATTGCAAGAATGTATCTTTTCTACTGACCACAAGGATAAGTCTTCAATCGGTGCTAGGAAGAAAATTTGCTGGTCACACTTTTGTCGGTGTTGCATCGCTAGAGAGAAAATCGTCACAAATGTTTGTTCAAGAACTTGTCCCTCCTGCTGGTGAAAGTGAATGCTGCAGAGTGGCTGAGGTTTGTGGAGACGTTCCGCTAGCCATCAAGCTTTTGTGCGGTCAAATCGTTGACGAGAAGAAAAGTATATCACAATTCCTTGACAACTTTAGCCGTTCTTCAAAAAAGCTAGCAGACTTGTTAGACGATCCAGATGCGCCTAATGATCAACGTTTTAAGGTCTTATTTGAGTCTTATTTCAAAAGGCTATCTCGAGAAGAGCAAGAAGGGTTTGTTTGTCTTACAGTTTTTGTCAGTGAAGTGTTCGACGAGCAAGCTGCAGTAAACGTCATCGGAGGAGATGAAGACACAGCAAAGAAAACTTTGTTGAGGCTTAAGAGAAAATCGTCGGTTGAAGCAAATTCATCCGTAGCAGGACTGTTTTCTTTTCACCCTCTGATCAGGTCATTTGGTTGCGAAAAATCAGCTGATGACCTGAAAGAAATTGGTCGCGAAGCACAAAGGCGATTCGTTAGTTATTACGTCAAGTTGTTTGAAGATTTAAACAACCAGTTTCTCGCTGGAAATTCTCTGCTCGCATTTCACGATTTCGAATTTAACAAAGAAAATATGGTGCATAGTCTCTCCGAAGGTCTTGAAAACGGGGCTGTCTGCCACGCAATTTTCGATATTCTTTCCGATGCGGATCTGTTTCTGGACACTATTTTCTACTTTCATCATTACCAGATTGTTCAAGAAATTTATAAATTAGCAATAGCGAAGGCAAAAGAGCAGCGTAAATTTAAAGCTGTGCACCAACTGCTAATTGCTAAAGCTTTTGGTGAAATAACCTGGCGTGATGGAGCTACATTGACAATACTAAAAGAGGCCGAAGAAATAGAGAAGCAAAATCCTCTCCTTCCTTCAGAAGTTGCCATGGGAAAACGAATGTGTTACCGTGGTATTCACTTGCTAATATATAAAGCGACAGCGAAAGGTGGCGAAATTCTTGAAACAGGGGTATCTCTGTTGAGTTCTGAAAATACTGTTCTTAAGGTTTTATGCTCCCAGATTCTTGCTTTGATTACTCCTCACGCACAAAAGTCTTCCTACTACTGGAACAGTGTTTTAACTGAATGCGCTAACAGACTATCCTTGTATGCTTTCTTCAAAGCTATACAAGAAGATGATTGCGCAGACGAGAATGAGCATGAAAACCCAAACGTTTTAAGTCAACCACTCATTTTGCCGCTTGCTCTTCTCATCAACCATATTGTGGAATGCTATGACATGAAGGTGGTAATGTTTAAACTTGGTTTGCAAATCTCGCAGTTACAGAAAACAGTCGAAGCCGAAGTACAGAACGACCGTCTATACTTGCCACTACTCTTCATCGTTGAAAACACCCTGGCAATGGTGAAAATAAAGCAACAGGGTCCATCAGCGATGCAATTCGCTCTTGATAATTTTATAGGAGAATATGGTCGGCTAAACTCGGACACAGCCGCAAGGTACCGTACCAATGGATTAATTTTATACGCGCAGAAGAATTATGACGCTGCTTTGACATGTCTTTACGCATCACTAGACATCAGACTAAAACTTTATGGGCTCAACCATGCAGAAAGCGCCGACAGCTATTACCAGATTGGATGTATCCAACTTCGGAAAGGAGATTACGAGTTAGGATTGCAATCGTTCGAGAAAGCACTTGATATCAGAAAAAATCTTCACGGAAAAATTCACCTAGACGTCTCCCGTGCTTGTTTTTATATTGGAATGACAAACTATCACTTGAAAGAGTACGATTCAGCTCTGCATTGGTTCGAGCAAGACCTGAATATTAGCGTGGCGCTGTATGGAAAGGAACACCCAGGTGTCGCTTACAGCTACAGCTGTATTGCAGAATGTCAGTGCGAAATGCAAGATTATGACGCAGCTCTGGAGTCATGTCAACAGTCACTTGATATCAGGATAAAGCTCTTTGGACAGGAGAGCGAAGCTACAAGCGACAGTTATGACCAACTGGAATTTATACGAAGTCTAGAGAAAGTTTGCGAATCGCCTCTCGAGCTACAGAGCAAAAATTCTTGAAACAAGAACTTGAAATAACAAGTTGTAGTAGCGACATATCTATAGTAACACTGATGGTTCGAGTAAATACAAGTTATAAAAGAACACGATTAAGTGACTTATAATAACCGATTAACATCAGAATTTCTGTTACAGAACATGCATGATGTAATTTGCGCACTTTTTTAGCCTTTTAGCACTCGTGAAGGGCCTATATATATATATATATATATATATATATATATATATATATATATATATATATATATATATATATATATATATATAACTACAGACGGTACCGTTTCGGTACATATATATATATATATGGTACCGTTTCGGCCTAATGGGCCTCATCAGTGTAGTGCTGATGAGCAGGATGAAAGTAACTCTTATTTATAGTTACCTTTGATGCCTCCCGATTGTGAGACATCAAAACCATGCCAGAGCGCTCAAATTGCAAGCAGTGAGCGTGCGCAATGCGTAAGCAGCATGGCTCATCCTGTAGAGCGCTCAATATGACCTAAAGGCCATAGAGCGATATCTAACTACAGACGGTACCGTTTCGGCCTAATGGGCCTCATCAGTGTAGTGCTGATGAGCAGGATGAAAGTAACTCTTATTTATAGTTACCTTTGATGCCTCACGATTATGGGACATCAAAACCATGCCAGAGCGCTCAAACTGCAAGCAGTGAGCGTGCGCAATGCGTAAGCGGCATGGCTCATCCTGTAGAGCGCTCAATATGACCTAAAGGCATATATATATATATATATATATATATATATATATATATATATATATATAAATTTGCATAATAAGACAAATCTTTATATAAAAATCTTTATATAAAAATCTTTATATAAAAATCTTTATATAAAAATCTTTATATAAAAATCTTTATATAATTTGCATAACAATAGTCTTTATATATATATATATATATATATATATATATATATATATATATATAATTTGCATAATAAGACAAATCTTTATATAAAAATCTTTATATAAAAATCTTTATATAATTTTGCATAACAATAGTCTTTTGTTAAAGTGTTCTTTAGCTGGTATAAAGACGTATGCACGTGACTAATTTCTTACTCAAGATTGGATAATTGCTTCATGAATTATCAATTATACATATAAATCTTTATATAAAAATCTTTATATAAAAATCTTTATATAATTTGCATAACAATAGTCTTTTGTTAAAGTGTTCTTTAGCTGGTATAAAGACGTATGCACGTGACTAATTTCTTACTCAAGATTGGATAATTGCTTCATGAATTATCAATTATACATATATATATATATATATATATATATATATATATATATATATATATATATATATATATATATATATATGTATAATTGATAATTCATGAAGCAATTATCCAATCTTGAGTAAGAAATTAGTCACGTGCATACGTCTTTATACCAGCTAAAGAACACTTTAACAAAAGACTATTGTTATGCAAATTATATAAAGATTTTTATATAAAGATTTTTATATAAAGATTTTTATATAAAGATTTTTATATAAAGATTTTTATATAAAGATTTGTCTTATTATGCAAATTATATATATATATATATATATATATATATATATATATATATATATATATATATATATATATATATATATATATATATATATATATATATAGCGCTCTACAGGATGAGCCATGCCGCTTACGCATTGCGCACGCTCACTGCTTGCAGTTTGAGCGCTCTGGCATGGTTTTGATGTCCCACAATCGTGAGGCATCAAAGGTAACTATAAATAAGAGTTACTTTCATCCCGCTCATCAGCACTACACTGATGAGGCCCATTAGGCCGAAACGGTACCGTCTGTAGTTAGATATCGCTCTATGGCCTTTAGGTCATATTGAGCGCTCTACAGGATGAGCCATGCCGCTTACGCATTGCGCACGCTCACTGCTTGCAGTTTGAGCGCTCTGGCATGGTTTTGATGTTCCACAATCGTGAGGCATCAAAGGTAACTATAAATAAGAGTTGCTTTCATCCTGCTCATCAGGACTACACTGATGAGGCCCATAAGGCCGAAACGGTACCGTCTGTAGTATATATATATATATATATATATATATATATATATATATATATATATATATATATATATATATATATATATATATATATATATATGACAAATGCCTGTACTCTGCTCAGCCGACAAGACTTCATATGTAACAAACAGAACGGCTACGTTTGAAGAAGTTTATTAAAAAAAGGTATATTAGATACAAAAACTAAATTTTCGGCTGCATGCCACAGCCTTCTTCAGAGTGAAGAAGGCTGTGGCATGCAGCCGAAAATTTAGTTTTTGTATCTAATATTCCTTTTTTTAATAAACTTCTTCAAACGTAGCCGTTCTGTTTGTTACATATATATATATATATATATATATAGCTTAAGATTTTGGTTTACGAAACACAAACAGTGCTCAATACCATATAGATAGAGCGTAATATAGTTTTTCGTTTTACCTCAAAAAACCACAACAGTCTGTTTCATCCGTATAGGAATCATCAACCACTTGATGATTCCTATACGGATGAAACAGACTGTTGTGGTTTTTTGAGGTAAAACGAAAAACTATATATATATATATATATATATATATATATATATATATATATATATATATATATATATATATATATATATATATATAAACAGTTTTGTTTTTCGTTATAGATAAAAGAGTGCTCAATACTACAAATAATTCGCGCGTGCGAATAATGACGGTGCATGCACGTCAGCAAACTATAGATCACGCCATTATAACGAACTGAATTTAATCGCCTGAAGATTGCCACAAATAGTGGCATGAAACTTAAAGTAGCGAGAAATTGAAACATTTTAAGATAACAAATTATATATATATATATATACACTCCGCAACGTACGAATGAAATTTGATATAAATTCATTGCAATTCAAGTTTGAAGAGAAAACGCTCCTGTATGATTCAGAGCTAGGTTTTGTTGGTAGTCAAGGACTATTAAAGTAATAATATAGCAATAATATTATATATATGTATACATTGTACGTAAGTGCGGTACACTAGCTATAATTAATATTATAAAAAAGGGTGGTGGAGTAGGTATATACGTTGCTGAAAATTTACAACATAAATTACGCAAAGACCTCAATGTTAACATAGAAGACACCATTGAATCTACTTTTATAGAGATAGCCACTGAAATTGGGAAAAATATTATCGTCGGAGTATTTTATCGGCCACCAAATAATAAGATCGAAGTATTTCAAGATGCTATAAATGAAATTTTGAGCAAAGTAGATAAAGAGAATAAGATCTGTTATCTCATGGGAGATTTTAATATTGATTTACTTAAATCGGAATCTTGTGATTTTGCCAATAAATTTACAGAACAACTTTTTACATCTTTTTTTTACCCACTCATAACAAAACCAACTCGAATAACATCCCATACTGCTACACTTATATACAATATTTTTACTAATAACATTGACAACATTGATTCAAGCGTAAATGGAATTCTTTTTAGTGATATTTCAGACCGTCTACCAATAATTCACAAACTTTTTTTGAATACCCTCAGGCCTAATGAAGACACAGGAGAGAAATACTATACAAAAAGGATATATAATAAAAATAATTCTAGGCTTTTTACAGATGAAATTAAAAATGTATGTTGGGAAGGAACGATTTCTTGCAATAACCCAAACGAGTCCTTTAACCAATTTTCCACATTATTCACAGCTAGTTATGATAAACATTTTCCAATTAAAAGAATGAAAGTAAATAAGAAGATTAACAAGTACAAAAGCCCCTGGATGACAAAGTGTGTTTTAAAGTCAATCAAAAAGAAAAATAAATTATACAGTAAATACTTATCAGATCCAAATAAAATAAATGAGAATTTGTATAAAAAATATAAAAATCGATTAAATCATGTAATTAGATTGTCCAAAAAGAAATATTATGAACAAGAACTAATTACATATAAACATGATTCAAAGATGATGTGGAAAACAATAAATGACATACTAGGTAGAAAAACAAATAAAAAGAACTTCTAAAAGAATTTACTGATATGAATACAACAAATACTATTAAAGATCAGTTTGAAATTGCAAATAAATTTAATAACTACTTTGTCAATATAGGACCTAACCTAGCAAAGAAAATTACAAATGGATCCAATAACAATTTTAGCAAATATCTGACTCATAATTATCTAAACAGCATGTTTCTTGATACAATAAAAGAATTTGAGGTACAAAGTGAAATAAACAATTTGAACTCGAATAAAAGCCCAGGGTATGATGGTCTGAGTGCTAGAACGATTAAACAAGTAAGTAAGGAAGTATCAAAACCACTTGCACATATATTTAATCTGACATTTACTACAGGTATTATTCCTGAACAGATTAAAACTTCCCTGGTAACACCAGTATTTAAATCAAATGAAGAAAATAAATTTGAAAACTATAGACCAATATCAGTTCTAACTTGTTTCGCTAAAATACTTGAAAAATTAATGTACAAACGACTAATAAAATACGTTGAAAAAAATAATATTTTATCTGACCATCAATATGGATTCAGAAAAAAACAGATCAACTGAACTTGCAATAATCGAACTTGTTAATAAAATTACAAAAGAAATCGATCACGGAAAATACGCCATAGGTATTTTCTTAGATTTGTCAAAAGCATTTGACACCGTTGATCACAAGATTCTGATCAGTAAATTAGAATATTACGGAATTCGTGGCATAGCAAGACTTTGGTTTGAAAATTATTATACAAATTAAGAGGAAACAAATTGTAAAATATAAACAAATAATGTCAAGCGAAATGATAGTACAAACTGGGGTCCCGCAAGGTTCAATATTGGGTCCGCCACTTTTTATCCTCTATATAAACGATATTCAAAACTGTAGTGATGTAGCATCAATGCTATTGTTTGCTGATGATACAAATATATTTTACAGTCACTCATGCCTCAAAACACTAAATGAAACTCTTCAGACAGAAGTGGACAAAATAGCCGAATGGCTAAACACAAACAAACTATCTATCAACACATCAAAAACCAAATTTATTTTATTTCGATCCTCAAAAAAGAAAAAGAAACACGTACTAAAGTTGTTCATCAATAACGACGATATCAAACAAGTCAAAAGTACAACCTTTTTAGGAGTAATTATTTATGAATGTTTATCACGGAACGATCATATCGATTCCGTTGCAAAGAAAATTGTAAAATCTGCAGGAATTATTGCAAAAATTCGTCATTTTACAAATTTACTATGCTTTAGTCTATCCATATCTAATCTATGGCAATCTAATATGGAGTAACACATACAAAACAAGAATTCAAAAGTTAACAAATATTCAAAAGAAAATATTAATTCGTCTTATGACATTTCAGTCCAATTTTTCTCACACTGAAAAAATATTTATTGACCTGCAGATCTTGAATCTCAGTAAGTTAAATAACTACCTTACAAGTCTTTTCATGTTCCGATATCATCATTTAAAGAACTTGCCAAACGTTTTCACAAACTTTTTTATTTCAAATAACCTAATTCACCAATACAACACTCGAAACTCAACTAAACTTCATAAGTCTTATCAGAGAACTAACTACGTCAAGCACTCGCTTTCAGTGAAAGGGGTGGACGTTTGGAATAATCTTGACAGTAATTTAAAAATAATAACATCACGTCCCATTTTTAAGAAAAAATCCAAAATACACTTTCTATGTAATTAATCTTATAAATCACTTTAACTGTAATTTCTCTTCATGTAAATAGATATTTAACTCAAGCTTCTCATTTAAATTAATAAAAGTAAATACTCTCCTACAAATATTGAATGTAACATAACCTCACTTTTTGTAAATACTTAGAACCGATGACAATTTAACTATGTATATTAGCACCAAGACTTTAAACTACGGGTCTAAATCTAAAAGCCTGTTCAAGGTTTCCGTAGACTCCTAGCCCAAATGCATCTACTTTATTTTATTTACTTTTTATGTAACATAATGGTATATCACATGGGCAAATCATTAAATAAAAAAAAAATAATAATAATATCAGTGCAAACCGCAAATGATCTACATTTGTCACGTTCAGCGAATTGCGCGCATTATATTTGCAACATGAATATAAAATTACTATTTCATAATTCTCGCAATACACAATTCATAACAAATAGAACTACGATTTACCTGGTGCCGCGCTTCGTCTTACTGGCGAATCTCAATTCATATCCCATAGCTCTCTGTCTGATTTAGTCTTTCTCTTGTATCGGCAACATAAACTTGCAAAATAGCATAACGACCAGTCTGGCCATATTTTGAAATTTGAACTCACCGCGGTGACAATCCATCCAATCAAAAGGCTTATGCGTGAACAAACAACTCAGTGTAACAACTCAGAGGAGGTTGCCGTCAAACATGTTACGTCCTGATTGGTTGAGCTTTATTCATAATCTTAAATTGATTCCGCGTTTCCGTGCGGGAATGTTCATATTCCAAAGTCTAGTGCGGCAACATAACAGATCGAACTGGTAATGGGAATCGATTCAACCATTAGGCGTACGGGACGGGGGGGGGGGGGGGGGGCAGCTGCCCGCCTGCCCCCCCCCCCCAAAAAAAAAAAAGATTACAAAGTCGAAAAGTCGGGCAAATGTTCAACATAAGTCGGGCGAAGAGTGGGAAATTAAAAAGCCAAAAAAGTAGTGAAATCAATCAAATCTCTCTTAATAATATATAACCTCAGTTTGTTGGGCAAACAAAGCCAGTTGGGCAATATTCGCTTCACAGTCAATATTGGGTTATTATAAAAATAAATGGGACAAATTCTGTCAATTTTGTGATGTTCGAAAAATTTGTTTGATGTTCCGAAAAATTTTGGTATGTCCGAAAAATTTTTGGACCCCTAAAATGGTACACTGACCGAATTTTTTTGGCGACGGGGGGGGGGAGGTCGCGAAAATTAATTGTTCCGGAAAAAAAAGTTTTCGGCACTGGTCGGGCACAATCCGAAAAAGTCGGGCAAATTTATTTCCGCCCCCCTAATTTTTTCCTTCCGGTACGCCCATGAACATTCGCATGTGCCGTATATACATAGTCATTGAGCTTTCACGAGCATCATTAATAATAATATTCATATCGCTAGTAAATGGCCTTTATCTTTCTTTGACTCTAAGATGATATATATGCAATTGAACAACACGTCGACACTTTACTCATGTAAAAGCTGTTTTATTTTATTATTTAATTTTATAATATAGCAATTGTAAATTCTGGACGCTGATTGGCTGAGAGCCGTGTTGACATAACTTAATGTCAACACGGGAAATTTCCCGCCGCTCTTTAAATTGAAAAGCGTATTCCCAAAATTTAAGTAAAAAGTTTTTAAAATGGCCAATTTTCAACCTTTTGGCACTGGAGGCGATGCAGAAAACCCCAGAAGGTTTGCAAATTTAGAAGCAAGCGATTTAGACGAATTATTAGAAGCAGCACACTCCAAAAGGACGAAATACAGCACTGCTTTCGCTGTCTCTGTTTACAAAGGTAAGTTCGCTTGAACTTTAAATTTAAGTTTACACCTCTCCAAGTAATCAGGTTTTTATATATTATGGTTGTCTTTCAGAGTGGGCCTTGCAAAGAAACATAAATAAAGAGCTTCATGAACAAAGCGAGGAAGAGCTTGATCAAAACCTGAGAGTTTTCTATGCAGAAGTGAGAAACAAGACCGGCGAAAACTACGGAAAGTCAACCCTACTCGGCTTGAGAAGCGGCATTGAGCGGCATTTAAACTACCCCCCTCATAACAGAGGAATCAAATTTTCTAAAAATCCTGCCTTCATGAAGTCCAACATGATACTCGATGCGAAAATTAAAAATTTAAAGCAACTCGGGAAACAAAATACAAAGCACAAACCTGCCATAACGACGCCAGACCTTCAAAAGCTGAGA